ATTATTTCGTTCACACTGCGTAGATACCTCTAACTTATATCATTTATGAAGAAATCCTTATTTTGAACAAAAAAAATCTCTATTATAAGCCAAAAGTAAATGAGGCAAAAAATATTAAATATGAGCGCTCAAAACCAAGTTCACGGATTCAGTAGAATCGTAAATATTTTCATTAATTGAATGTTAATAATTGAGTCTTCATCAAGTTCGGCTCCAGAAAAATCCCTCGGCGGCCCGGAAATTAAAAAGTGCGCCACATCCGCCGGAAGTCGGGCAGAGCTTGAGTGCAGTGGAAAAAGTTGAGCGGAACCGGGTAGATTAACTAGCTTCAATGTATAGGCAAGGAGATCACCGGATAAATAAAAGTTTAACAAAGAATGAAGTCTGCTTTACGATCAGTTATTTAATTCAGAATTTTGACAGAATACGTTTTGCTGAACTTTTTACTTATAATAAGTAAAAATAATAATGAAATAGGTATATAGTATTAAACTCAGGAGGAACTTGTTAGCGCAGGTGGTTAGCGCGTTCGGCTGCGATCGTGAAAGTTAAGCAACTCTCGCAATGGTCCGTCATTGGATGGGTGACCAAAAATGTTCGATCTCGAGTTCCTCCGTGCTTCGGAAGGCACGTTAAGCCCTTGGTCCCGGTTGCATCTGCAGTCGTTAGCACCCGCCAATCCGCACTGGGCCCGCGTGGTGGGTCATGGCCCAATCTCCCTATTCCATCCATAGGGAAGGCCTGTGCCCCAGGAGTGGGGACATTAATAGGCTGATGATGATGATGATGATGATAATAGTATTAAACTCAGAATAATAATTTATAAAAGTAATTCGAGTGTTTGATATATTTAAAAGAAAATTATGTCAGCAAATGCAATGTACAAGTTCATTTTATATTTTGACTAGCGACGGACCCTGACTTCGTTCGCGTTTACTTTCGAGAAGCCCTCAAGAACTTAATATTTATTTGGGATAAAAAGTTATCCTATGTTCCTATCCAGGAAAAAACTACGATATTAATACAGACTAAACAAACTGACAGATATTTTAATTTGTGTCTTAATGACATAAATATTTTTTATACGCAACCCTAAAGCATCGAGTCCATCGACAGAATTCAGCGCGTGGCGATGAGATTGCCCGCTAATGAGCACCGCCGACGGCGCTGAAAATTGGCCTCTACATTTTTAATACATTCGCTTAAGCCGCTTTTTTATTCACTACCCGCGGTCGCGCTTTAAAAACAACCCCCCACGGCCGCCCATAAAAAGAGGGGGGTGCGATTTCATTCGTTAATAGATTTTAAAAATTAATACATTTACCCAATTACAAGGCGGAGGGCCGTGTTTTAAATAAAATAAATCGCTAACCATGTTACGAGTACGAGCGCGCTGGAGCTTTGATCGTTTGAGTAAAAAAAAATACGCGAAGCTTAGGGACTAATCAAAAGTGGCATGATACTTATTAAGTTATACGGAGTAACCGAGTTAAGGCGACCGAACGGTGCGACTCAAAAACTATTTTATGAATAATAGATGGTGTCGGGGCGGCCAATCCCCGGGGAGCCCCGCCCACGGCCCGACCCCCCCTCCCATCGGTCTCCCGCGACCCCCGCCCCTTCTATTCATTACCACATTACCACCCCCCGTGAGAGTCGGGCAAAGAAACTGATTCGCGACGTCCGAACACTAAACTGTAGGATAATTCGCGATTTCAGACACAAAATTGCATGTAATCGAATTTTCTGTTACCGAGTTATTTTAATTATTACGTTTTTCCTATTGGAAATGAGTACTCTAATAAGAAAATTAAAGTGGTAGTGATAATGAAAGCATTTTAAAATTTGAAATAGAATACACTGCCATTCAATTTTTGACGATTAATTATACTAGGGTTTTGTATGCACATAATTTATAAGACGCTTTAATTATGAATTCAAACAGACCACCTCAGGAGAACCTACATCTAAATAAGATTGTTATGGAATATATACCGGCATTCTGCGAAATAAAATAAAAAAAAACAATAAAAATCAATGAAAAATCACATTTCAATAACCTTCATGATGAATCTATTACGCAATAGAAACGGTAACGCGATCGATGGTTAAAACTTTCCTACTGATTAAAGTATCAAACTTAGTAATTCCACTCTCGCAGATTCTAATCGATTAATGAGTGAATCGAATCAAGTTCGCACTGAAAATCGAGTTGAACTTAACGGAAACAAGGCAAGAGGTTTAACTGGCTAACGACGTTAACCGAGTCTCCACCGAGTTAGGGAGTTTGTCCAACGATACGGAAACTAATAGAAGGACTCTGCGAATGGCTGAATATTTAATACCTTAGCGACAGAGAAAATCAAACAACACAGAAACCTAAGATAATTTAAAAAGAATTAAATATTTACAACACACAAGACATTAATTATCTCGTGCAATTTAGATGTAGAAAAAGATAAACTATTTTAAGAGTATTATATCGTCAAAAAAATCGGATCGTAGGCATTATCTGAAAATTTTCGGAAAATTATTCGAAGTTTTGTATTTTTATTCGAAGAAAAAAATTGTGTGCAAGTACCACATATCTGAAGTGAAACCTCTTTTCTTAAATAACCTAACATTAGGCGGTGCAAAAGGCATTGGAGAATGGAGCAGCGCACGCGTCACTCATATACATATATGTGTATATATTGTCACGTGTGACGCTCGTAGCGTTTCTGCCTTCGCCGAGTTACCTTCCAACTTTCATGCTCGTCAGGAAGAGCTGCTCACGTATTATCAGATATACAAATTTATATCTATATATATATATATATATTTGTGACGCTCGTGGCGCATTTCCGTTTCATCTTTCCCATAGGTTTTTTCCATTTACAACCCAGTCCGAAAAAAAGTTTCGCTTCAATAAGAAAATATCCTTACTCGGCTGGGAAGCGAACCCGGGCCGCCCGCGTGACAGGCAAGCTATCTACCACTGAGTGTGTATTGTTGCATATATTTTTCAACCGTTACACATATATTCTATAATTTTTTTCAACTATAACGAATATAGGGCGTCCCACGGCAACCTCACACGGAGGGAAAGTATATTAAATATTGAAGATAGGATATTTTACTGAAAGAAGACATTATTTTATTTTTAATAATAAATAGAACTGCATTCACAGATTATTTTAAAATCGCCTGTTATAACTGGGAATCGAGCTCGTGAAATTTCGAAAAAAAAAACACAACTTATTTTATGATAACTATCGAAAGAGTTAATCATAAGCATTATTTTTTGTTAAATAACATAGCATTTTAAATGAAAGGAATGTCTTATTACGTGATAAAAATAATAAAGTGTTATACAAACTGAAGTACGTATGCTTTCTTTTTGAACTCACAGTTACAATGCGATTGGCTGAAATTTATAAAAATAATAATTCGAAAATGGAACACATAAATTTTCAAGCGTCTGTTCTTTTTTTTGGGTTTCATTTTCGTTTATTTGTATTTTTTTTGTTATTTTACTTACCATGGCGTATCAAAATAAAATGGATTTACTTTATGAACCACAAAGACATATTTAGCTTTGCGGTAGTACCGCAAAAGATATCCTGATGGAGACGTATCTTCTCGATATGTGCTTAAAAGGTTAGTGGATACTGAAATTTAGAACGTTTTGATATGCGCTTACAGAAACCACAGCAGCGGATGATAAACGCCAACGATGATGAACTCAACATTTGAACTTACTTTGAGGCGTATCCGAATGTTAGTGTGTGTAAAATAATTTTAAATAAACTGTTCAATTTAATTACTTTTCTTTAATTTAAAATGCTATGTAATAAACAAAAAATAATGCTTATGATTAACCCTTTCGATGGTTATCTTAAAATATGTCGTGTTTTTTTTCGAAATTTCACGAGTTTGATTCCCAGTTGTAACAGGCGATTTTAAAATAAAACTGTGAATGCAGTTTTATTTATTATTAAAAATAAAATGGTGTCTTCTTTCAGTAAAATATCCTATCTTCAATATTTAATATACTTTCCCTCCGTGTGAGGTTGCCGTGGAACGCCCTGTATATTCATATTGATTTTAACGCGAGAGTAATATTAATTCGTAAAGATAAATGTAACCGACTGATAAAATTATCGCAATGAATAATTTCAATCACAGATCATATTAATAAAAATATTTACATTAAATCAACTTGTGAAAAATATTTTTGAATAAAAATAGTATCTGATATTTTCAACCATGCAAATTACCTGATATTTTTATTTAACTGTTAACTTTTAACAAGCTTTTGACTTATAACTTTTTTCATTAATTAAGAAGTGTCCTCTACACTGAATCACCGATGCTTGTTAATGGTCGAAATATTTAAATGACAAATAAAAATGTAATGCATCATACTAAGATGAAAATTTTGTAGCAATGTAATTAAAGTTTCACTCTAACAAGAAAAATAATTCGTCGCTGTAATTTCAAAAAGTCGTATGTATAAATAGGTTAATTTCAGGAAACACAAAAAATTGTTTTTTTTCTATGCCACATCAACAAGTTATTTTTTTTTTAATTTGAAAAGGCTTCATTTTTGTTTCTTCTATACAGAGATTCAAAATAGATCCCAAGTAATTTTAACAATACGACCTTTTACAATATTATAAAATCAATAATTAAAGTTATACAATTTTACATATGATATTTTGAAATGACAGCGACGAATTGAGATATTAAAGGAATATTAATTAATATAAATAATCTTTTAGCGAGCAAATTATACTCTCGTTCTGAACTGAGAGGAAAATAAAAGCAACTATGCGCAAACTTGGTAGTTTTACGTAAAAAAATATTTAAAATACACAAAAAATACGAATTGTATAGTGTTTGTGTTAATATCATTTCGCTACTTTTTCTTAGCAACGATGTATAGGTACTTACCTATATTCGATAAATCTATGGCATAATATTCATCTCTATAATTCACAATCTGAGACGCTAATTACCTCATCTGACGACCTTTGTGATGAGATCAGATACACCGGTTTCAAGGCTCGCCTACTAAGAACCCAGGATTGGTTCAGATATCGTTGGGGCAATGTAACGTAACCCACATGGGTGCGACGCCATGAAGAGGTACTCGAGGGTAGGCAAACGATGTTGGTGGGAAACTTCGCGGGCAGTGGTAGCAGAACAATCCGCGGATTATTGAGACTGTGGACATTACCGTTACATACTCGCATGGGTGCGACGCTGTGAAGGGGTACTCTAAGGTAGGCGGGCGATGCTGGTGCGGTGGCAAGCTCGGCAGGCAGTGGTAACAGAACAGTCTACAAATAACTGCGACTGTTGACATTACCGTTATATACTCACATGGGTGTGACGCCGTGAAGGGGTACTCGAGGGTAGGCAGGCGATGCTGGTGGGGCGGCAAGCTCGGCGGGAAGTGGTAGCAGAACAGTCTACAAATAACTGCGACTGTTGACATTACCGTTATATACTCACATGGGTGTGACGCCGTGAAGGGGTACTCGAGGGTAGGCAATCGATGCTGGTGGGGCGGCAAGCTCGGCGGGCAGTGGTAGCAGAACAGTCTACAAATTACTGCGACTGTTGACATTACCGTTATATACTCACATGGGTGTGACGCCGTGAAGGGGTACTCGAGGGTAGGCAGGCGATGCTGGTGGGGCGGCAAGCTCGGCGGGCAGTGGTAGCAGAACAGGCCGCGTCCGCCACCGCCGCCGCTCGCCAGCTGTAGACAACATGCGTTCGTTAAAACCAGGCTGCAAATAATTTCCTAACAGATGCAACTAATATTATAATCGTGAGTTTTAGTTACTCAATCACGCAAAAACTACTAAACGGATTTAGATGAAATTTTGGTATGCATATAGTTTATGACCTCAATTAAGAGTTACAATACTTTTAATGTGGGATTCAGAAAATACTAAAGTTTACCCTCATAATTTTCTTGCTCATGTCGATATGGCGTTGTTCTTTTGAGAGATGAATAGTATGAGACTAATATAATGTATAAAGATTACAGTTTATACTATAGACTTTAGTAACGTGCTTATGTCTTATCTCTACAGGACGATTCAAAAGAGTTGTGTTGTGCTTTACAATACTATTTTGAATTAAATTGAATCAAAATCAAAAATCATTTATTCAGTCTAGGCTATAACAAGCAAAACTACGGCGGGAGACCTTGTACTGAGAAGAACCGGCAAGAAAATCTGCAAGGGCTGTTTTTTTCTCTGTTGTACAGAGTCGTCAAGTTGAAAAATGACTTCAGAGATAGTTTTGAAGTCACTTTCCATTAAATCTTTTGGAATATAGATATATAATTACAATAAATTTTATAGTTAACTTTAACTTGAGAACTACATATTGGGGCCGTTTGGTGTTGAGACTATGGGACCATGGGGTCCAAGCGCTCGTTCCTTCTTTAAGGAATTGTCTAAGAGACTCACCGAGGTGACTGGTGATGAAAAGGCTGGCAGCTACCTTGGTCAACGGATTAGCTTTGCTATCTAACGCAGAAATGCTGCCAGCCTATTGGGCACCATTCCTGACAGCGGCACTGGGTGTGATATATGTTTTATTTTGTAAATTGTATATAATTAAAGTACTGACTTATTTCTGGTTTTTAAGTTTTTAGAAATTAAATAGTTTTAAGCTTTTGTAATTTTACATATTTCTATATAAATATAAATAAATTATTATATATATTTAGTATATAGGAAGTGATATTAGATAAGTATCATATTACTGTTATGAAAGATTACTTGTTCATGCATTACGATCATTGAGATAATCATCAACATTATAATAGCCACGGCCATCAGGGCCGGTAGGATGATGGTCAGTGCATTCGCCCGGATAGCGAAGGGTGCGGGTACGAGTGCTGTCCTGTTCAACGTGGATTTTTACTAGTATAATTTTTCAATTAAGTAACTTTTAAATTTAATACCTAACGAAAACTAGAAAATATCAATACTGCCCAAGCAGCATTTCGAACAGCGAAAGGTCCGGTATTGAAACCTTACTTGAAGTAAGTTTTACTTAATTAATTTCTGAATACACAAAGGCCATTTCAACGATTATTACACATGTCAGACGTAACAGCTTTCCCATAATGTCACAATCGGACCGCTTCGCCATTAGAAATCATTCGCCATTATAAAGATCTAATACTTATCAGTGTATTAGCATAGAAACGGCACCGCGTAATGATAAGGCGCACGCGGTAGGGCCTTGATCCGAGCGAGCACATGCGCACGCGCACTGAATGCGAACGCCCGTAAGGGGTGTTATTGCGAGATCTCGATTCGCGCAATCATCGATAATGAGCTTAGTTTTATTGAATATTAAGTACCGGAATTGTGTCACAGCTGGCGCGTATGGTATTTTATGATTGTACCAAATTAAAATAATATAAATAAGTACGTACGCGACTTCATTCACGTGGAATTAAAAAAAAACGCCCTATGGATTTTTATGAGATATAAATGGCGGTAAATATTTCAGAACCCAGCCTCAGCAAATGGTGGTGCGACGACAGTTGCATCGGGCCTAATGTTCTCGTAGTTCCTCATGAAAACGACTCTGATAAAGAAATGAAAGCTCAATACATAATTGAGGGGATTTTGTCCAAAGACCCAAAAATAAAAGTTACTAAAAAGTTTATAAAATTTAAGTGAAGAGCCCTGGAAACTTACTTATCGACAGAAACACAACACCGCCAAAAGGTAGAGTTATTTAACTGTGGTCTTCTATATGGTGGAGGTTAGTTCCCCGGACGGGCGCTCTAATTTAAGCGGAAAATCCGCTGTACCCTTCCTCTTTTTTTATTTTTTATTTTAAAACACACACCAATTAGCCCCAAAAAAGCACTGAAAGGCTTTTGTTATGGGATACTAGGGTAAAGCATATTTATATAGAAATACATATTAAACATCCATGACTGGAGTACAAATGCTCGTATTCATCACACAAACATCTGCCCCCATCGGGATTCGAACCCGGGACCTCTCGAGTCGGCGACACCATGAAACCCGGCGTACAAACCAATCGGCCACGGAGATCGTCGATTGGTGCAAAATGTACTATAAGATAATCTCAATTTACAGATAAGTATTGAAATGAACAAAAGTATTTTTATAATTTAAATTGACTTATTCAACGCTCTTTGAATGGGCTTGTAATACGAGTATGCATATCCTTCTTTCACAGTTTCGAGACATTAATTTAATTCAAGAACAGGGGGCCATTCGCCTAACCCGATTGCTTAGGAAAACGCTATCGCTTACGATTTCATTTTGTTATTTCTAGCCACCTGAGGATTTCAAATGCCTCGCGCTCATTTTTTTTTGCATTGTTAATAACAATATTAAAGTTAATGAGCATGAGGTATTTGAAAACCTTCGGCGGTCAATAATAACAAAATGAAATCGTAAGCGATAGCGTTTTCCAAAGCAATCTCGTTAGGCGAACGGACCCCTGGCACAAGAGAACATCTTACAGTTTATGGGCATAGGTATCTCTGATACGGTTTGAACTACTGGGAATTCGAATATAAATCTGTTTATGAAACTGACAATCAAGTAAAGAACGTCTCAAACTTAAGCAAAGTGAGGGGAACTTACTCAGCTGTTCACCTGTAATTAACAGTACGTAGGGTATGTATTTTTTTAACAGTTTCAAGTTGATCACTATATTTTTGATAATATGAATTCCATATTTGAGAGGCATTGTCTGATTATGTTTAGAAATGAATAACAGTTAACTAATTAGTTAGTTATGAATAATATTACTTTAAAATTTGTCATTCATACATTATATAGATACATTTATGGTAATCTTGGACTTAGTAAGCCGTTTGCTCATCAGAGCTACCTATTACTTTGCAGGATTGAAGCGACTTCCCCCTAGAAGTGCACGAAAGGACACCAGGCACATAAATCAATTAATTTCGATGACTAAATTGCCGGAGTGCATCACCGCATCGTGCGAATGGATCTATGCAGTCACTGCACTAACCTATCATAATCACACAAACATGTGACACAAAGTACAGTGCTAACAAAATCTTGTGGCGCGAGGCCGAAATCAAAATATCTGAATCATAAACTGTATTGACTTTATTAAACTATACAATATTAATTTATTTTACGATCGAGTTCTCCAAATCACAAATTAAATTATCTACCGTAATTTGTTTAATCGACTACTATCAAGTTGAGTTTCTCAATTTTTGACCTGGACTTCCCTCGGAACAAAGTCAATATATACATATATGTATTAGTGATGTAAATAGAAGAAAGTTTACCATTAGAATTATCCGTATACTTTTTGGGTTGCTGGGTTGGCTGCCCTAGTAAGTCAACATAAGCATTCCAAAATCTATCGAGTAATCTAAAAAGTATCGAATCTTACTCGGTATCACATTAAATAGTATCGAGTGCTGAAATACGTAGCGTAACAAAAGTATCGAGTATACTCTATATAGGTATCGATACTTTTTACAGATCCCTAAACGTAAGCCAGCGCGCGCAATGAGTGCGACCAAGATCTCAAGGCTTTTTTATGACATTGACAGGAGGACGCTGCTGGTGAAGAAAGTTCGGTGAAGTACGTAAAATCTCCTTACTAAAGGAAATGTTATCTAATCTATTAAATGTATATAAATTTCTCGTGTCACGGTGTGCGTAATTGAACTACTCCGAAACGGCTCGACCGATTTTCGTGGAATTTTATATGCATATTCACTAGGTCTGAGAATCTGACAACATCTATTTTTCATCCCCCTAAATGTTAAGGGTGGTCCTTTATATTTTTTTTTTTGTTTTAATTTTTTTATGATACATCATACAAAAATACATGCAGCCCTAAATTTTCACTCTTCAACCCCCTATTTTTTATGGCGGTACGCATTTCGCTGGGACAGCTAGTAATTTATAATAACTTGGAAAGATTAATAGGAAATATAAAAGACTTATTTGCAAGGTGCAAAGAAGTCTTTTCGGTGCGTTCTCAATACCCGAGTAACTCGATACTTTTTATCCGATGCCGAAACTAGTATCGATACTTTCCATACTTTTGTTTCGATACTTTCATTATCACCGACTTAATGCTTCAACTATTGCTAAACAACCATAGAAATTGACTAAGTCATTAGTGGTACTCACATCTAATAGAGGCCACTCTACTAATACAGATAAAAGGTTTAAATATAAAA